TTACTAGCTAAACTATTTTTTAAAAATACCAGATTAATTAACGGCGATGTTCTTACATTGTTGAGTAGTGAGACATCAAAATTTCGAGATGATGGATCATCAAGGGTTTAACAATAGCTTTAGCTTGAAATCTTGATAAACATGCCTGATTTACAGAAACAAAGGTTGCCTCTCTCGTCAAAGTAGACTTCAAACCTCGACGCTATCTATTGACCATCGCGCAAACTAGCGGCCTCGAGTCAGTGATGATTCCATTTGATACCTTGTGGATCTCATAGAATAAAACCCGCCCTGGAATGACAAGGTCATTAGCCCGAAACCATGGTCTCTAGGAGACGCTTCTCAATTTTCCAAAGTTGGTGTTGTTGTTTTGTCAACGACATGAGGCCGCTAGTTTGAGGCGACGGTGAATAGATTGGTGTCTAGTTTTGACGTCTATTTTGACCATAGAGGCAACATTTGCTTTTGTGGATCAATTTCCTTCCGGCCAAAAAAATTCACAAAACAGAGACCCACAGAACAGCAGCTTTAAACTCCCAAGATAAAGAACATTGCTGTTATAGAGATGCATGGATACATCTGAGGCTCTTCATTGGACACGACAACAACAACATAAAGTGACCACATGGACCCAGAACAGCAGCTTTACACACCCAAGATAGAGAGCATTTCTGTAATAGAGATGCATGGATACATCTGAGGCTCTTCATTGGATACGACAACAACAACATAAAGTGTCCACATGGACCCAGAACAGCAGCTTTACACACCAAAGATAGATAACATTGCTCTGATAGAGATGTATGGAGACATCTGAGGCTCTTATTGGACACGACAACGACAACATAAAGTGGCCATAGGACCCAAAACAGCAGCTTCACACACCCAAGATTGAGGACATTGTTGTGATAGATATGTATGGAGACATCTGAGGCTCTTCATTGGACACGACAACAACAAAATAAAGTGGCCACAGAACACAAAACAGCAGCTTCACACACCCAAGATTGAGGACATTGTTGTGATAGATATGTATGGAGACATCTGAGGCTCTTCATTGGACACGACAACAACAAAATAAAGTGGCCACAGAACACAAAACAGCAGCTTCACACACCCAAGATTGAGGACATTGTTGTGATAGATATGTATGGAGACATCTGAGGCTCTTCATTGGACACGACAACAACATAAAGTGGACAAATTGACCAACAGAATATCATATTTACACACCTAAGATAGGATACATTGCTGTGATAGAGATGTATGGAGACATTTGAGGCTCTTCTTTGGACACGACACCAAAATTATTCAAGAAACTTCGTAGATTTTATCCATATAAGTATATATTCCTATTCTATTAAATCTTAAAGGTATATTTAAAAAAAATATGATATATTTCAATGGAAATAACTCGTTTATTAAAATAATCTCCAAAATATTCACTTAATAACGAAAGCGTTAAAGTGCAGAATAAAATTATATAAAGTAAATATTTTCTCTATTAAATTTGATAACATGTTTTCTTACTTTTTAGGAATAAATCTTTCAACTCCATTATATATATAATTTATACAGTGTACACTAGAAGTTTATTTATGTATATATATTTTAAATAATTTCAAACAAATATGTTATAATCATATTCAGTGTAAAAAACAAAATACAAATATTCATTAGTGGGGATAGAAAGTGTTGCACTCTGAAGGAACTGGTGGAATTTCTTGTAAATAGCTTTCCCTTTATAATCCATTTGAGGAAGTCGTGAAAATGTTTTCACCAAATCTCTATAACTATACATAATCCATGGTACACGCTTGTTCGGCGGTACATATATACATAAGCCATGGTACACGCTTGTTCGGCGGTACATATATACATAAGCCATGGTACACGCTTGTTCGGCGGTACATATATACATAAGCCATGGTACACGCTTGTTCGGCGGTACAAATATACATAAGCCATGGTACACGCTTGTTCGGCGGTACATATATACATAAGCCATGGTACACGCTTGTTCGGCGGTACATATATACATAAGCCATGGTACACGCTTGTTCGGCGGTACATATATACATAAGCCATGGTACACGCTTGTTCGGCGGTACAAATATACATAAGCCATGGTACACGCTTGTTCGGCGGTACATATATACTTAAGCCATGGTACACGCTTGTTCGGCGGTACATATATACATAAGCCATGGTACACGCTTGTTCGTAGGTACATATATACATAAGCCATGGTACACGCTTGTTCGGCGGTACATATATACATAAGCCATGGTACACGCTTGTTCGGCGGTACATATATACATAAGCCATGGTACACGCTTGTTCGTAGGTACATATATACATAAGCCATGGTACACGCTTGTTCGGCGGTACATATATACATAAGCCATGGTACACGCTTGTTCGGCGGTAAATATATACATAATCCATGGTACACGCTTGTTCGGCGGTACATATATACATAAGCCATGGTACACGCTTGTTCGGCGGTACATATATACATAAGCCATGGTACACGCTTGTTCGGCGGTACATATATACATAAGCCATGGTACACGCTTGTTCGGCGGTACATATATACATAAGCCATGGGAGAGAAATCCCCTTATCAGACGTGAACGGCAACTGTTTTGAAATCTCACTTTAGTCAAAAATGTTTATAGTTTTATTCTACTTTTTCTTTACGCGGGTTCGCGTTTTAAATTAGAAATTTATAACTAACCTACTGGCCTTTTCCCACAAACAATTATTAAGTTTTTAACGTGATAATCCTGTTGAAAGACTGACAATTCCCCGAAAGCTTGAAAATAAGAAGTTGCACAAAAGAAACTTTACCCTGGAAGCTTCATCTATTTTATAAAACAATACTTATAACGAAAAATAGTACAAAAGTGAATTTGTACTTGGATCACGTGGATAAATAGAGAAAAAGAGACATTTTCTGATCGTAGCAAAACTGAAAGTTGCTGATGGCTTGCGCCATCTATCGTAATAAATATCAACTAATCGTTGATTCTTAATTATTCCAGAATTGCCCAAATACCACGCTGATTAGGGCCAACAGCCCGAAACGCGTACGTGGTTATCTTTTATTGATTAATTAAGAAACGGTATTTGGCCAATTCTGGAATAATTAAAAATCAACGATAATTTGATATTTATTCCGATAAATGGCGCAAGCCATCAGCAACATTTAGTTAAACCATCAGGAAATGCCCCTTTTTCTCAATACGTATAGCGTTGGCGCATAGTGTCCAACAAGGCTGTTACATGTGATAAAGAATATAAATATGAAGTATTGACGTAGGCCGACCAATCCGTAGCATTTTAAGTCCTTGTTTTCCCTTTTCCAGCAATCCGATTGGTCCATATGTCCAATCTTCTGAAAAAAAGGATTTTCTCTTCTGCTTGTTATATCGGTGACACTTTCCATCATATTTCCTTTATCTTTCCCACTCTGTAGGAAAGAACTCTCGCAGTCCATCGGTGGCGAAGTCTTACCCGCGGTGGGCGCCACCAATGAAGACTGTATATATTTTATATATATGTATATTTATCAATTATTTTATCTATTTATATCTATTTATTTATATATTTATCATTATATAATCTTATTTATTCCTATTTATATTTATTCTGTATTTAACCTTATATAATCTTATATGGATATTGTAATAAATCAGTTTCAATCTCAATCTCTTTGTTCTTTATATCTTTATATCTATATTACTCAAATTTTAATGGAATATTCCTTCTTAATTTATATTCATACCTATATATGTAAATTATAATTATTAATATTGCATATGAATTAAGTTAAGGTCCTATAAACTTATGTCCATAGTTTTCTTGAAAACCATTTCTGAGATTCCATCCTTCAGTGCTGCGTATATAAGCAGAATCGTCCAATACAGTATTAGAGCTCTGAGAAGCGGTCTGGTGAATTAAATTGGTGAAACCGCTGGGAGGGTTCACCACTGATGAGCCAAGCCCTCCCAATATAATATTTTCATCGCAGTAAGGGCAGTAGAAGTTTGTATTATGTATAAAAGAAACATTCGTGCTTTTAAATCCTTTCAATTTATATGTATAGATGGCGCGTTATTGCTTTGTGTTAATATTTGTTTGTGCGTGTGTGTTTTAACACAAATTTTCTGTGAGGTGGTAAAAACAATTCGAAACACCTTGTGAAGAACGTGCATGAGATCAAGATACACTTCGAAAACAAGCATATTGATATCAACTTACTTTAATTTCATTCTATAATTAGAGGAGAATAATAACTACATTTATTATTAAATACATTTTTGTTTGACTTTATCGACTCCCTGTTTCTCGAACACCGAAACATATTCAAAATGATGTATAACTTGAATATATATTACACACACATTTTGGAATAAACCTATCCCCCGATTTACACGGTAGATACGTTCCTGAGAAAAACGTGTAAATCGAAATTTTAAAAATTTTAAAAATTAGAAATACAGACACAGTGTGCGTGTGCAGCAAGTCAGCACATAAACTCGGGATTCCTCGTGAGATGTGTACACAGCGCATGTGTTAAATCACAGTAGCATTTAGTATAGTGCGATAAAAACAAAAAAAAAACTTATTTGGAAACCGTGTAAAAGCGAAAACGTGTACAACAAGTACCGTGTAAATCGGGGGATAGGTGTATACTGAATTATTAGCTGTTGCTTGATTTTGGTATCCATGAGTATTTTATGATATTGTTTTGTAGTCGTGGTAATAATGTTAAAAATAGTTCAGATCATTTTTGCTTCAATTTAGCTTATAAAACTCAAAATAAATAATCTGAGAAAATATTGCCTGATTTAAGGCGTAAGAATAAAAAAAAATGAAAAACTCATTTACATTATTTACAAAAGTTTGAGCCGGCCATTGGGAAATAGGAAATATCTTTATTTACGGGGCTGCTAACCAAAATAAAATGATTTTTGAGTCCCAAAAAAGGTAATAGCTTACAGCACCCGGTGTTCCCAGGTGGTCACCCTCCCAAGTACTGACCAGGCCTGACATTGCTTAACTTCGGTGATCAGACGAGAACGAGAAATATATATATATACTGATTATCTGTAGGATAACTTGGATTGACGAGGGCCATTAGCCCGAAACCATGGTCTCCAAGTGGGCGCTTCTCAGTTTGCCAAAGTTGGTGTTGTGGCTTTGTCATCGAACCGAAGCCGAGCATAATAATCCAGCATTGTTTCTAGAGAGCTGGGCATCTATAGAGGACAAAAATAGTATCAATAGAAGAATAGATATACCTCAATCATACCTACAGATAAAACAGAAACAGTAATTATGGAATATATAAAATAGTTTATTAATAATATAAAATTTAAGAAGTAATTATATTTTCATTGAACAGTTTGACCACATCAATCTGTTTTATTCAAAACTTCGTCACTCGTGCATCACGTGGATGATTTGTTTACAGGGTTAGAATCCCCGAGGAAGATAGGCGAACAGCCTCATTGAAATATTGGAATTTTTAATAAATAATATGATCCAAAATAAGCGTTAATCATTCAAAAAAATATATGTATATCTTTTGTAATACTTATTTTTGTGGCAATGTGTTTCTTTTTTAGATAGAATCAGATATTATCTCTACAGACCTCACAGCAATGATATAAGTTATTGAATTAGGGGGCTTGACTCATCAGTAGTGAACCCTCTCAGCGGTTTCGCCAAATTAATCTCCAGACCGCTCTACTATTGTATTGGATTGGTTTAGAATATACCTTGTATTTTCTATGGAATGCAGCTTGATGGCAATTGAATTTATAAATAGAAGGGATTATTTTGTACTGATGAAGGCCAAAGCTCAACACCATGGTATACAGCTTGGCTTTCTGTCTAAATTTGTTAACACTGATGTTGCGGCTCCTTCTTTATCATCACTATGAAAGGTCTCCGCCTTTGCCGGTCCCAAGCCCGGATGAAAAAGGAAGAGGGGGAGCAGTAACAAGCTCACTAAAAACCTGGACTCAGCTGGCCTGGCTGATAGTACCCTGTAAGGGCTCCAGGGATACAGGATGAGCAGCGTTTGTACTCCATGTTAGGAGCGGCTGCACATGGCATCTGTTCCTCATGTCAGAGGCGGCCATTTTTTTTTTTGGAGCTAAGTCAGCCTGCTACTGAATAGTGCTTCCAGTCTTAACGACAAAGAGAGACACATTCTACTTCATCCAATCATGATGGTTGTCAAGCTTGATACCCTAATATGATTGAGTGGAGATAAGAAAGAAGAAAAAGATTAGTAAAGATATTCACTTGGGTGCACTGCGCATCGTTCTAATGTATATTTAAAGGGAGAGGTGCCTTGTTTGTTACATGAATATCATCCTTCCGCAACTCCATGTTATATATAGGAGAATGTAGCAGATATAAAAGAACAAGTTACAAAGTATCGCTGGATTCACGCCACATTAACTGCTGAAAAAAAAAACGGAAATTTAATTTTAATAGCATCTCCACATGGCAGGAACACAAACTCCAACTTTGAGACACCAAAAAGAGAAAAAAAAACTTCTCACTTTATTAGGTTTAAGAATAAAATTGTATATATCTCACACACACTATTATTAAAATAATTAATTATATAATGAATTATAATACAATATAATGCAGCTTATATGATTGTAAAACGACATTTGAAAATTATCCCGCATATGTTTCTTTTAAACGAAAAATCTGAATTTAGTTTTAAAGAAGAAATAACGATTATTACCATCCTTAGGGATGAATTATGAAAGGATGAATTGTGAAGAGGGGGCTACCCTGGACATATTTTTTCTGTTCGTAAATATTATATGAGGTAATTTATAATACAATATAATGCGGCTTATGATTGTAAAACGACATTTGAAAATTAAAGAAACACATGCGGGATAATTTCCAAATCTCTATTCATGATAAAAGTGTGAAAAAATGTCGTTTTATATAATGAGTATTATTATAATTCTTTCCAATTGCTGTCCCAAATTTTATTTCTTCTGATAAATTCACTACTCTATTCTTAACAGGCAAAGGACCCTTCTTGAGTTTCCTATTCAAACTGAATGTTATCAATGATCTAACATGTGAATGCAGCTTAAATGTCGAATCACAAGAGCATCTTCTTTTAACTTGCCCTCTGACTAATCAAATTTCATGCACATACTTTGAAACATTACCAAAAATTGTTTTTGTGTATATACTCAATCTCATGAGAACTTTGTTAAGTTTAGAACTATTTGTACAATAATTTACAAAACACTACTAATCCATCGTGTAAATAATTAATCATATATATGTAAATAATACTAGCACAGCAGAATAGTCCCTTGGACTTCGTGCTTTTTGTGATAATAAAAAAAAGATAATAAAAAAATATATTATAATTATTTATAATATTTTAGTATAGTTTCTATATAGAAAGAGAGTGTATAAAATCTCAAATTTTAACGAATTCTAAGGAAATTAAAAATAATCCATTCATCAGAAATCCGTTAAAATGAATTTAAAGGTTAAACTACCCATCATTCAAAAGCAGATGCTATTTTGAAAAAAAAAAAATAATAATTGCTGTTTTCCAGAAGTGTAGTTTTGAGAATTTTTCTTAATTTAATATATATATTCATAATTTAATTAAATTTACATTTAAATGAAATTCACAATGTTGTGGGAGTTTTTTAAATCGTTAATAAGAAAAATTTAGCAATAATAGATCCATTAAGTTGAAGTTTTGCTATTTTAGATTCTGGATTGTTTGGTGTATCTGATATTTAGATTGGTTTTAGTGTGTTGGGTGTTGTGACAGTTATTGTAGTTCCTGTAGGATCTAGTCATATCTTGGTTTATCTTCATTCCTTCAAAATGTCCTGTTCTGGATTGATATCTGCCATATAGAGGGCTTGGAAGGATGGCTGGGTATATATGGTCCGGAGTGAGTTGGGTGTTGTGACAGTTGTTGTAGTTCCTGTAGGATCTAGTCATGTCTGGGTTTATCTTCATTCCTTTAAAATGTACTGTTCTGGATTGATGTCTGCCATATAAAGGGCTGCAAGGATGACCGGGTATATATGGTCCGGAGTGAGTTGGGTGTTGTGATAGTTATTTCAGTTCCTGTAGGATCTAGTCATGTCTGGGTTTATCTTCATTCCTTTAAAATGTCCTGTTCTGGATTGATGTCTGCCATATAGAGGGCTGCAAGGATGGCCGGGTATATATGGTCCGGAGTGAGTTGGGTGTTGTGACAGTTATTGCAGTTCCTGTAGGATCTAGTCATGTCTGGGTTTATCTTCATTGCTTTAAAATGTCCTGTTCTGGATTGATGTCTGCCATATAGAGGGCTGCAAGGATAACCGGGTATATATGGTCCGGAGTGAGTTGGGTGTTGTGACAGTTATTGCAGTTCCTGTAGGATCTAATCATGTGTGGGTTTATCTTCATTCCTTTGAAATGTCCTGTTCTGGATTGATGACTGCCATATAGAGGGCTGCAAGGATGGCCGGGTATATATGGTCCGGAGTGAGTTGGATGTTGTGACAGTTGTTGTAGTTCCTGTAGGATCTAGTCATGTCTGGGTTTATCTTCATTTCTTTAAAATGTCCTGTTCTGATTCTTGAAATTGTTGTTAATTATCTATTAATATTGAGGTTGCATATGGCCTGGGGTATTTTAGTTTCTTAAGCAATTGATTCAAAATATAGACTTCTGGTTTTTCTTGTTATTAAATTTCCATTGGAAGTTGAATAGGTTATTTTGTATATTACAGAGGTGACCGTTTACAAGATGAATCACCCATATTGAAGGTATCAATTCTCTATATTTTAAACATTGTAATCAATTCAACTTATCCATTAAGAAAAAGAACAAAAAACAAGTCGGTGGACGAGTGGGTAACACCCTTGATTCCCGACAGTCATGAACCGGGATTGAATCCCTCGTTAACATTTTGTTTAATATGTGAATAACCTTCACATATTATTCATTGTTGTAAATATCATAAACTAGGTTGCTCTTGCTGAGCGGTACCTATTAATGTGATTTGAACCAGGAAGAGAAAGAACAAAAAACAAGTCGGTGGATGAGAGGGTAACACCATCGATTCCCGACAGTCATGAACCGGGATTGAATCCCACGTTAAATTTTTTTTTAATATGTGAATAACCTTCACATATTATTCATTGTTGTAAATATCATTAAAAAGGTTGCTCTTTTTGAGCGGTACCTAATAAAGTGATTTTGAACCGATTAAGAGAAAGGATATAATAGAAATTAAATAGAATCTTAACAATACATGCTCGAGAAAACAGGATAAATTTGAATCAAATATATAGATAATATTTATTTTTTATCAAAAGAATTAAATCGTTAATGGAAAAATTTCGTTATTTTTATTCAAATATTATTCAAAGAATCAATTTTGCAAACGAAATTTCAAAACGAGAGAATTATATATTTTCTTTCTTTCAAACAAATAAAAATAAATATACATTAAATTTTCTTGGAGAAAACAAAAAAATAATAATAATTCGGAAAGAAGAAAAGAAAATCAATATTTCAACTCTTTTAATTCAAAACTAGATGGCTATTTCCTTATTTAAAAATTTATGACAGATATTTTATAAAGTAAGTTGATTTAATATTGTAAAGTTGCTGAAATAAATTTAAATATGAAGGAGATCAACACATAAATTTGTAAAAAAAGGAAAAAATCTTAAATTACTCATTTATTTTCTTAATAGCTCTTACTTTATTTTGGCCCCAAGGTTTAAATAAATAAGCATGAAGGTTAAATGAACGCTTTGTATTTAATCCAATTTATATTTTTCTTGTTTTATAATAGGATATTTCAAAAACTGATACGTCCTTTTGATGTTTAAAGTCACATTTCAAACAAAATTATAGCGAAATATATATTTTTATAAACGGTTTATTAATTCTGATATTTATATTTTGTTCATCCATATACTTCTTTTATTGATTTTTTTTGTATTATATAAATTTTAGTTTGTGCTTTTTCCTTAAATATATTGCTGTGTCATCCTTAAGTTTCTTCAAATAAAATGCACTTCTGCCAG